CCACTGATGTCACATGGACTGTTTTACCGATGTATTTACTACGTTTCTGGACCTGGGAACATTTCAGTTGCATTGCTGTCTATGGAGGGTCAGATAGCTCTCCGATTTCATAAAAAATTTCTTAATTTGTGTTCCGAAGATGAACAAAGGTCTTACAGGTTTGGAACGACATGAGGGTGAGTAATTAATGACAGAATTTAATGCGACAGCTAGACTGAATGCAATTGTTAATTAACTGTTTAACAAGTGATATAATAATGAATCATTACTGCTTAAAAATGTAAGTAGAAAATTCAACTGATAAAGCATGAAATAAGGTACCAAATCAGTGAATTTGAGTTTAATGTGGGCATATTATCAGTAAAGTAATCATTAAACATTTGTAGTCATTTAAAAAAATATTAGCCATTTATATTAATTCCAAAATAATTCTGTCCACACGAGGGAGCTACAGGGTAGCAAATCCTTCAAGATAAAGACCGTGAAAATGGTTAAATAAAATTGACTTGTAATAAAAAATTGCATATAAATTCATTGTTTTCATAAGGTTTAATAAAGCCCAATGTAATAAGTATGCAAAAACTGTAATCTTTTAAAGATAGACCATTGTTTTTTTACCTTAAGTTTAATGGTGTTGACAATATATTATTCAAGTTGTCAGAAATAACTAAATATGTACAACTGAAGAAGGGACACTATATTATTTAATATATTTGCCTATTGTGCATATAATAATCCTTACATAAAGACTCATAATTTACTTGAAATGAGACATCCATTGTATAACTAGATCATCTACACAAGCCATTGTCCTTGGACCCCAATGATTGCCTCAAGTTAAACTGCATTGTTTCAGTTACCTTCTGTGTTGTTGCCAACGCTTCGGTGACGGGACTGAAATAACAAACAGGGAAAACAATAAAAGGCATGATTTACATTGCATCCAGTTCTCCAAATCCGGCCAAGCTCCATGATTCGTATTTGTATTAATTTTTTTTCTTCATTTGAACTTGTGAATGGATTTTTTGTAAAGTTAAAATCGAATTTACTTTCATCTCGGAAGTGATATTGTGCCTATTTGACAGTTGAGAATGGTCCAATCACATGAGGCCAAAATATATAAAAACAATATTGATTCGCTAAGATCAAAAGTGGGAAGGTCTGGAGCACAGTGCTCTGCACCCTGAGGATAATCTCAAAAGCCAATTAGAGCTCAGCCTCAAGTCACATGCGTTTCAAAAGTTTACAGACCTAATAGGCACCCATTTGTCTGGTGCCTCGGACACACAAAACAAATTAAATAAAGTTTAGATTGTTTTTATTTTTAATACGTGCTAACATGACTACCAGTTGAATAGTATGACTAAACAATGCAATTTCACGATTATTTAGCAATATATATTTAATTTATTTTAAACATGTTCAAGTAGACTTCTTCCCTGACTAACTTGATGGTGGCAGCGCCCCAGCACCCCCATTGACCTGCTGCCACTGATGGAATTAATGACCAATGCCAGTGTATTATAGAACAAGGTGATCAATGGTCAGTATAAAGCCAATATACAATGGAGATCAAAATTAGGGAACAATTTATAAATAATAATTAGATTTTTGCTAAAATATTGTTAATCTTCATCAAAATTTGAAGGAATATCAGCTGTTCATATACCACTGTTCTACTAAGATGTTTGCCAAAATGTCCAAGGCATTTCAATTAAAACCTTTATTTTGTAGAAAACATAGTAATCAAAATTAGAGAACAGTAACCACTGTAGCCCAAAAGAAGATTACAACTAAAATTTTAGAGGGTTACAGCTGTCAGAAATTAGTAGGACGTGTAGAGGCGTTTTCTTTGAGTAACTTAAGCACATTTGCGACCGCAGGACATCATTAGTTTCTCACACCGCGCCTGTGTGATCTTGGTCCACTCTTCTTCCACCCTCTTCCATAGTTTGGTAACTGCATGGGTTTCTTAGCCATAACTTTTTCGTCAAGGATTTTCCAGTGATTTACAATCGGGTTTAGATCAGGACTCTGGGCTGACCATTTCATTATTTCAATGCTCTTAGCTTCAAGGAACTGCTTTATCCATTTTGCAGTGTGCCGGGGGCAGTGTCTTGCATTAAAATAGCAGGCTGATTGGGAGATGCTTGCAGGGAAGGAACTGCATGTTGCTGAAGGAGTTTCTGATAAACATTTGTATTCACCCTGCCATGTAGCTGTATAAGAGGCTCAACTCCTGCTGCGCAAAACATCCCTCAAACCATGACACTTCCACCTCCACCTTTTTCTTTACACACTTGGGCTTCAGTTTTTCCTTAGTTTGATGTTGACCAAAATGTTTCCCATCGGACCCTAATAAATTAAACTTGCTGTCACCACTAAAGTGAACTTTTAACCAGTTCTCCTCTGTCCACACAACATGCTCCTCAGCAAAGGTGAGCCTAGCCTTTTAAATATTTCTGCTGATGAGAGGCTTTGTCACTGCAAAGTGCACTTTCAGTCCGTCTTCTCTTAAACATGCCGAGACAGATCTATACCCTTTTCAGCGCTGAACTGGCAAGCAAATCCAGTTGCAGTGTTGAACCAATTCCCCATTGAGAGTCTTTGCATTATCCTGTCCTCTCATGCATTTGTCTTGCGTGAATGACCAGCCTTTTTGGGGGACATGAATGAATTAGTGTCATTGTAAGCATGGAATATTAGAGAAATCACAGATTTGGAATGACCAACTTCTCTTGCAATGGCTGAAAGGGTCATCCCTTTGGCCTTCATCTGGACAACCTCCTGTAGCAGGGTTTCAATCACCTTAAAAGCGGCCTGCGGGATCTTGCAATCTCAGTGAAAATTAAAGAAATGCTGCCAGGTAAATAGGGTTTGTCAGATAATTAAGGAAATTATGTATAAACATATGTATGTTGCTTCCATTGTCCTCATTTGTAAGTCGCTTTGGATAAAAGCATCTGGTAAATGATTAAATGTAAATTAGCACCAGGCCTTAACACCAATAACTTGTAGGTACTGTATCTGTAAGTGGTCTTTAATTCGATCAGAATTCTTTTTCATACATCTAATTTAAGTTTTCATACTGTGATTCAGAATACAATTAATTTATGAAATATACTTAAAAACTGCCCTTCTGCTCCTGTTAGGATAACTTCAAATAGGACTAAGCAGTGACCTTGAAATTTAGGAAATTATAGGTTGTTCTCTAATTTTGATCTCCAATGTATGTGATGATATCAAATTATTTAATTTAAAGATTGTAAAAAAAAAAATTTTGGTTTGTCTCTAGTACTCAATCTGGTAAAGCTAGGAGGCTGATGAGCCGGTGATGGGACAAAGATAGATCTTCTTCTTGACTTCCACTTTTGCAAACTAGGGCTGCAACTACTAATCGATCAAATCGATAATCTATTATGAAAATCATTGCCCACAGCGCACGTCCAACTTCAGCCGATCACGTCAAATTATAGCACTGAATTAAGCATTTTTATGGACAAAATGCATCTAAAAATTGTGGAAGAAACAGAATGGGATGCTGCGGGAGAATTACATGATCCAAGCTGCCCAAACATGAGATTTCTTTATTTTAAGCTTTAAGCTAATGCATTAGTGTAATGGCTTGCCCTGGCGCTTTGGCAGATGATGTGTGTGCATCCTCAGCGCAAAAAACTTTCTGTTTACGGTCATATCCTTATGTATAAATGTCACTAATTCATGCGAGCATTTCCATTTTTGCATAAAGGTCCGTCCTGACAGTCCGTGTTAAGTTTTACTCTTTATTGAATGAGCGGCGGGCGCGTGCACGCATGTCAGACAGACGGAAAAGAGAGACAATTAATAATCAGCGCAAAAACTGAAATATCTGTTGTTGAAAGTTAAATCGTGGTTTAAAAGTCAACATGTATTGCGAGTATTTTATGAGAGTAGGAACTGTAAGGGAATAACAACAGCGTGTAAATTGTCTGAATATAAATATCAGACGCTTCGTAACCGCCCATTACAGGATAAAGAAATGACAGGAAGTCGTGACTGTGATCAAAGTGAACGTGTTCCTGCAGCAATATGCATAAGCTCTTTAGTAACAGTACTAGCATTAGTATTTCTAATGATATAATATAATTATTGCTGTTATATATGAAAGAAAGGCAGAGAGCTTTATAGTGTTTTTTTTCAGATACCCTATTATTCAAAAAGTACATAAACAATGCCAGCAAGAATGCAAGCTGTTATGAAGGGCATAGGAGGCCTTTTTTATGTGAATAAATACTATTTAGTTAAGTTTATTTGCCCAATAAATGACAATAACATTATTTTGATTTAATCAATTTTTTGATAGATTCCTAAAATTTCTAAAATGTGTTTTCTCTTTATTATGGCAGGTGGTCTAAAGGGGTCATATGATGCGAGATCAATTTTTCCTTTCTCTTTGGAGTGTTACAAGCTCTTGGTGCATAAAGAAGATCTGTAAAGTTGCAAAGACTAAAGTCTCAAATCCAAAGAAATATTCTTTATTAAAGTTAAGAGTCAACCACGCCTACCAAAC